TCCATAGGCTGTTTAGCTATAGCTCGATCAACGTCTATTAGTAATTCATTCTATAAAGGTCAAAGACTACTGGAGTGTTATCCGCTCAACTGTGAATGCAAAATTTTATTGTTCGCACACTTTTCCTGTTTGATGCAACTGTCAGAGTGTTTTTTGAGAGAACGGCCCTCGAATCTCCTCGTGTTTTACTTAACACTGGAGGAGATGAACAGGTGCCTTTCCATTTTGGGCTGGTCATTTGAAATAGAACTGCATCAAACTTAATGGTGTTCTTAGCCCCCGAATTCTCGACGTCCGTGTTACAAAAAAAGTATAGGCCGTTATAAAAGAAACCTGGGTGGTGAAATCATATGTCTCATAGGCTAATTAGTTTAAATGAGCGAATCATAATACCTCAGAACTGGAAAAACTATTTGTCAGATCATATCAATTACTAGAAGTATCCTTCATTTACCTTTATTTTAATGTATTTGCTTAAGCAGTATGATAAATTTCTTTTACATTTATGAAGGCGTGACTACCTGGCTTCTCACAGACATATGAATTCGCATCAAAGTTTTTTTTAATCAATCATAAACAAAGAATAATTTTGATTATTTCTTTTCGAGAAGAAATATTTAGACAAGCTACATTGGTTATATGTATAAAGATTATGCTCTTTAGCCTTGAGACTTATTTTCATTGTCAACCCCTAAATCGCAGATGGTCATTCTGCACCGGGACGGGACTACGCCACATGCCGTAGTTCTAGCGCCTCTCGGGACCGATGTAGTGCTCCGCCAGACTGTCGCCGTGTTAACCAAGCATCAGAGATGCCAAACCGCTCTAAACAAAATGACTCAAGCCAGGTTCCTCCTATCGTCGGCGCTCTGCTTCGGGGCAAGCCCCAGAGACAGATGGAATACCAACATCATAACAACCACCAAGAGTCTGCCGTTCCGACCCAGTACGCAATGTATGCTGATTCGAGTGGCATCATTCATCAGGCGCCAGCACGAGAATGGATGGAGGCGGATGATACAAATATCGGAAAACTTAGCATTGCAAGGTACATGGGGATAAATCAGCAAATATAAAATATTTTAGAAGTGGGTTGACCTCGTTGTCGCAACTTGGTCTTGTGTTCAGGGAGACTATGTAGAACGCA